GGTTCTGTGGAATACTGGATGAGGCACCAATTATATATCCATTAATTTATTGACTGGAGCATCAAGCCATTTCCTTGGGCCTGGCAAGAGAGCTCAGTGATTAAGGTGTGTGTGTGTGTGTGTGTGTGTGTGTGTGTGTGTGTGTGGTTTTTCTATTATATCAATTTCTTTTTATTGTTATTGAAAATGACTTTTTCCATACAATAGATTTTGATTTTGATTTCCCAATTCCTTCCAGGTCTTCACCACTTCTCCACACATTGAAATCCACACTCTTGTTTCTCTCACTAGAATGCAAAAGGCACCTTAAAAATAATAAAATAGTATAAAATAGAAACAAACAAACAAACCAGAATAGGATAAACAAACAAATAAACAAATAAAAGAAATTTTATAAGGAATAAAAACAAATGTCAGACAAAGCATTGTCAGAGCTCTGCTTATGGTTTCTATTGCTGCAATGAAACACCATGACCAAAGCAACTTGGGGAGGAAAGGTCTATTTAGCTTATATTTCCACATCACTGTTCATTACTGAAGGAAGTCAGGATAGCAACACAAACAGGGAAAGAATTTGGAGGCAGGAGCTGATGCAGAGGCCATGGAGGAGTGCTGTTTATTGGCTTGTTCCTCATAGCTTGCTCAGCCTGTGTTCTTGCAGAACCAGGATCACAGTCACAGGTTCGGCACTGCACTCAAAGGCAGGGTTTTCTGTCATTGATCACTAGTAAAGAAAATGCCCTACAGCTGGATCTTATGGAGACGTTTTCTCAATTGACATTCCCTCCTCTCTGATGACTATAGCATGTGTCAAGTTGACATAAAACTAGCTAGTGCAGTGAGATTAAAAACATCCTCCAAAAATGTCATCAAGTTTGTTTTGTGCTGGTCATTTACTTCTAGGTATGAATCGTGCCCTGAAGTGTGGTTTGTTTACTCAGTGAGACCCATTTGAGAAAAGAATTCTTTCATTTGCGAGTGGGTATCAATTGGAGACAGTGTCTGTGTTAAGGATAGGGGCTTGTTTCTACTTCGCCTTTCTATGCCGGTACCCATTTGGTTTAGACCAGTGCAGGCCCTCTACATTCTGCCGCAAACTCTGTGAGTTCATATGTGAACCAGCCCTGTTGTGTCTAGAAGGCCTTGTTTCTTTGGTGTCCTCCAGCCATACTGGCTCTTCTGCTCTTTTTGTCTTCTCTTCCACAGAGTTGCCTGAGGCCTGAAGGGAGGGGTTTGGTGGAGACATCCATTTAGGATCGAGTGTTCCATGATCTCAGTCACTGCACATTTTTCATTTGTGGGCCTCTGTATTTGGTCTCATCTACTGCAGGAGGATGATTCCTTGATGATAGATGAGTAAGACAGAAATCTATGAGTAGAGCAGAATGCTGTTGGGAGTCATTCTATTTCTGTTTTCCTTTAGCAGAACAGTAGTGTTTGACTTTCCCCTAGTATTACAGCTTGTCTAGTCTCAAGTGCTGGACCACCTGAATAGAGATAGGTAGGGAATTAGACAACCAAAAGAGTCACATCTTTGCAACTTTTGAAATATATGGAGACAGGGTCTCATTATACAACCCAAGGTGGTCTCGGTTTGTGTTGATCTGCTGACTCGCTCTGAGGCTGAGTTTGGGATTACAGGCTTATGCCAACACACACCCTGCTGTGTTCTTCACTCTTGCTTCAAGCTTTACGCTTCTTTGCTGAATTTCAAGTTCATGCTGATAGGAAAGCCGCATGCTTAGCTTTCAGGTGGTATGCCCAAAACTAGTGCAAGAACCCCTCTCTCCCATTTATAATGTCAGTTATTTGAGTGGCCTGAATATATTAAGTGGAAAATTCACATACAAAGAATTTGTAAGCATTCAATGGTATTGACAGGATGATGCTGTTCCCTGCATTCCATTTGTGAAGTACTCCTTTGTTCAGCACACCAATAAGGGATAGCTCCCGCTCACTGGTCACTTGGTAGCTGCCACAGTTATCAGTGCCATGGTAGGGTGTTAAAGTGTGTGCAACTAATCCTTACTTCACTCATTAAAGATACAATGTAGCAATGTTCACAATTCACCATAGAGAGCTGTGACCTGTGTGATGTAATTGAAAAATCTGAAGTTAATACAGGGTTGTCTATGCGGAAACAATCATGATGTAGATGGGACTACACACTGCCCATTGCTTCGGACATCTGCCCCGGTCCTCAGAGCACAATCCTATGGATTAAGAAGGAGTTTTTACACAACCTTATTAATTTCCTTTAGGACCATTCAAGTACAGATCTCTTCCCATATATTGTGGGTAGTTAACTAAAGCTAAGATCCTGTGGCAAAGGACATACGCCCCTCATAGACGGCTGCTTGTCTTTAATGTCACATCCTGTCCTCAATGCACACTAGTAACATCTTAAGGCATAAGAAAATGTTACTACTTAAGTGTTTTCCAGGGCTAACAGGTTAATGAAACAGCCTTGTGTTCTAGGGTGTCTCCACCACCTTGCCTGAACCAGGGCATTCTCCAGAAACCACAGCTCAGGGTCACTTTAGCAATTGGAAACAGTGACCAAGCAGCAAATTGTTGGCAGGGGAAATCCAGACAGAAGGCAGCTTAAATTGATGGCTCTGTGGAGGCCAAGGGGATTTGAAACAGAATTGGCCTGAGTTTTTGTTTGGCCAAATCACCTTTATAAAGAACTGAGATGCCCAAAGAAGGTTCAAACTCTGGACCACATATAAAAATCTGGAATCAGGAATTCTAAGGGAAACCTGGGTTTGGGATTCCTAAGTTTTTATAAGCTGCACTATCCTCTGACAGTCCAAGGAACTCGTTACCTGGCATTTGCTGGAGTGTTAAGGCAGAGTCAAAAGATCTCACGTATAATTGACATAACTTTAAACTGTATTTGATTTTTGAGTCCCTTAGCAGGATGAAGTTCTGTCCTGATAAACCCACTGTCAAATGGAAAGCTTAGTAGAAAGTATGACACTCCTGACCTACTGAGCTCCACGGATGCACAGTATAGCCTACTGGAGGATGGCTTGTTTTCCCCTCAGGATGGCAGGGCTGAATGAGAGTCAAGCCTCACTGCCACTGCTCATCATTGCGGAAAGGGATCAGCTCAGCTCAGCAAAGCAGCCAAATTCAAAATTAGAATGTGGCATCTTAGTTTGTTTTCTATTTCTTTGATAAACACCACAGGGAGGAGAGTGTTATTGGGTTTACTCGTCCTATTCACAGCCCATCACTGAAGAAAGTCAACATAGGAACTTGTAGGCAGGAACTGAAGCAGGGATCATGGAGGAATGCTTCCTGGCTTGTTATTTGTGTCCTGCTCAGTTTGCTTTCTTAGGCACCCCGGGGCCACCTGCCTAAGAATGGCATTGCCCACAGTGAGATGAGTGTCCCCAACCCCACCCCACATCAATTATGAGTCAAGAAAATGAATGTCTCACAGGTTTCCTTATGCCCAATCTGGTGGAGGTAATTCCTCAATTGATATTCTTCTTTTCCAGGTGACTCTAGTTTGTGTCAAGTTGACAAAAAGCAAAAGAAAACAAACAACAAAACAGCTGGCACATGTGGATTCCACTGAGTGCTTATGGCTTCCATAACATGTAACACTGAATGGTCAATCAAACCATCTTAAGATGGCAGGTTTCATAAGTGTTGTGTGTGACCTCATTCGTTAAGCCCCATTTCTCATGGACAGCAACTTTTGTTTCCTGAAGATCTAGGTGACAGGATACAATTGTCATTATAATCTTGGTCTGTGTTGTTTCTGCAATCTCTCTGTTTCCTGCTTTCAGTTCACAGTTATTTAATCCACATAATCTCAGGTTTCTATATTGCCTGTGTGGGGAAGGCAATATCCCTTGGACTGAATCCTTGCTAACTTTCTTCTCCTGTGTCTCTGTTTCTGCAATTGCCCTATTGCTGTCCTTGGCTCTGGCTCTACTGAGCTGCTTCTAGTTGTATGTACATATCAGAATCTGCTTATTCCTCCACCATAGTGGTCCCCTACCTTAGTATCCTCTACTCTCATGTTGTCCATTCCCAAAAACCCCTAGTCCCTGATTCTGGCTAAATGCTGCTGCTGCTTTCCTCTGCCAGGATGACTCTCATCAGCATCAGCAGCCCTCCATAAACCCATCACCCCACAGAGGCACTTCTTGGGCCATAGACTATCCCAAACCCCCTTGTCCTTTGTACTGTGTGCTGTAATCATCATGGCAGCCACAAGTTCTTGGGACCTAGGTTATTTCAGAGGTGCATAGCATATGTACTAATGATGATGATGATAAATGAAACACCGGGAACTTCTGCTCCCACAAAATCATCTCTGTTTTGCTACAAATATTTAAAATGAACACTATTCTGCATTGGAAAGTTATGAACCAGCTTTATTATTGGCACCGAGTCTTCAAGAAATCATTGTACTCTCTCATATATGGATTTTAGACATAGATCTGGGGAGTGCCAGCCTACAATCCCATGGCCAGAGAGTCTGGGAAACAGAAACTTCATTCAGTGGCTGATCGAAGAAGAGGCAGACTCCCATGGCTAAGCACTGAGCTGAACTCAAGAAAGCCAGTAACAGAGAGGGAGGACTGATGACCAAAGGGATTAAGACTGGGCTGGTTTAACCCCCAGAAACAGCTGACCTGACAAAGGTTAACTCTTGAATCCCAGGTATCAGCCTGGGAATCCAGCATGGGACTGATCAAGACCCCCTGAATGTGAGTGTCAATGAGGAGGCCTAGGTAATCTATTGAGCCTTGGACAGCAGATCAGTACCCATCCTGAATATACACATGGACTTTGGACTCCCATCCAACAATGTGAGGTGCACTCTCACCTTGAACTCTTGGGGAAGGGTCTAGGCCCTGCCCTATATGAAATGACAGACTATGGACACCCCCATGGAGGGCCTCACCCTCCTTGGGGAAATGAGGGGATAATGGGGGGGCTGGGGGAGGGCACGGGAGGAGGGAGGGAAAGGGAGAGGGACCTGGAACTGACTTGTGAAGCAACCTTGTTTCTTATCTAAATTTAAACTGAAAGAAAAACATATATATACACACACACACAAAGAGGAAATCATTTCTATTCTTAGAGATTCATTGTATCTATTTATAAAATAAGAACCATAATGTTCAGTTAGATGGCTAGGTGCTTCTTACCAAATCTGATGATCTGTGCATCCCACAGAGTGGAAGAAGATAACTGACTTCCACAAATTGTTGTCTGACCTCCACACATGACACATGCACCATAGTACACTTACACACACACCTTGAAATAACAGCAGTGACATTTTATCACAATGTAGCTGTGGTTTCTCAAGGCTCACCATCCTGTCATGCATATTCCTGTGGAGTCATCTCTTTTCTGAATACATCCTGCTCATACCTCTGTTTTCCCTGCACCCCCAGTTGTATCTGTTCAGGCACTGGTGGGAAGTAACGTGTGTGACTTGTACACAAACTATTACCATGGAAGTTTCCAGGTAAAGTGAGAGAAGGGGGCACTGTGGTCTGTTGCTTTATTATGCTTCATTACTAGTTGAAATCAAAGGCCTTCCAATTCCAGCCTGTGAAGACAGTATGTGAAAAGAGTTGAAGGAGGAGAGATAAGGGCAGAAGTGTAGAAGTTTTGCTTGCTCAAGAGCCTGCACAGTAGGCCTGCTTACTCAGGAACCCACATAGTGGGTCCACTTGCTAAAGGAGCTGTGTCTGCACTCTCAATGTTTCTTCTGCCAAAGAACTAGCAGGCATTTCTAATAACCCAAGTACCATTTCCAGACTGGCAAGTAGATCATTTCATTTTGTTTAGAAACAAACACCTTAGAATATGAAGGTACTAGCAATTTTCATATTCAACCATTGTTTCAACAGCCAGACACACAATGTAGTCAAAGAAACCAGGAGTCTATTGTGTATGGCAGACACTCTGGTCAGCATATTGCTTGTACTATTTAGTTTTAATTTTATGTCTTCCCCTGGAGAGAAGGAACTTTTGCTTCACTTTTCCAGCGTAGGAAAAATAAAGGAGAAACATTTCCACCTTCCTTCTGGGTTGGCTAGCAGCTATGTATGTGGGTAGAGTCTGGGAGATTGGCGCTGAGCACGATGGTAGCAGGCGATGACTGTGTGGGACTCAGGCTGGGGAAGGACCAGGTGTGGACAGGAGGTAAACCAGATTCTTAAATCATCATCTCAGGAGTGACATCGCAGAAGTGACACTGCAGCTGGATATTTTCGTTTGCATTTCTGTCTCTTCAGAGTGTTTCATAGCTGCCAAGGCAGGCAGTGAAGGTGGGGCTTTTAGTGGCCACCCTAAACCACCAGACCAAAAATACAAGTCAGAAAATCAAATACCAAAAATCTGACTTTGCACTAGCAACACATTCAATGAAGCCCTAAAGTGGTCAGAGCTCTTGCTGACAAATGGGAGAACCAGTCTGCAGCAGTCTCAAGGACATGGGCCTGAGGAATGATTGTGTCTCAAATATTCTTTACCTTCATTCTGAGATGTCCTCCCAAGTCCCCGAGGTTAGAAGGTAGGGTCCCTAGCTCCTTGCTGCTAGAAGGTTTCATGTGAGTGAGGGCACACCTTTGAAGGGGATTTCGTTCTCTTGGTTTTTGGCTGCCCTCCTGTGATATGCTTCCTCCCCTCCCGAAATAGCAGGGTTTAGAACCTCTGGAATAACCTTTTTTATTTTAAAGCTGATTGTCTCAGGGATTTTATCATAGCAACAGGGAGCTGATTAATAAATTCCTCTTTTGAAGACAGGAAGTATGACTAATCTGAGGAAAATAGGGATTTTCCAAATCTTCCCTTTTGATTTAGAAGCGCATGGAGACCTTTGCCATGGCTCTGGGTGAGGACAGCCATGCCTGGGATAGTCTACAAACCTATACTGACCTGGGCTGAGGAAAATGGGAGTTCCTTCCAGGACAGTAAGTTTTATTATTAGACAAGCTGTGTCTTTTACTTCCTGAGGTGAAAACCAGCCAGGTGGTTGGAGGCAGCTGTCTATTGCTCTTAGATATTCTGCCAGGACAGAAGGCTAGCTGGGGAGGACTACCTTCTAACTGGGATGTGGGGGAGACAAAGGACAATGCCCCCTTGGATGACAATAACATCTCTTACTTCTTCAATACAGAATTTGCAAACTGCTTGTGTGGAATAAAACCATCCAGGACACCTAAAGTATGTGGAAATATGAGCAAAATATGAATAGTATTCATATTTTCTTTCTCTCCTCAGTAATTGGCCTATTGCCAACCATCCCCTGTCTTTCAGGTACAGTTATCTGATATGTAGGAGTGACACATGGAGAACCATAACAATATATCTTGGAAGTAGCCACAAAAGTAGATCTAGTCATTCTACTCACATACACTCCATTTTGCAAAAATTCACCGTCATTTTGATAGCTGGACAAACCTTTCTATTGGTATGAACACAATGTTTTTTAGAATTCATATTTTGCAGGTTACTTTTCCATCTATTCTTCAGGGTCAGTGGTGCGCTGTTGTTCTCAAGCACGGAAACCAGGTTATTCTCCTTGGTCTTCTCCCTGAATTTCAAGGTTCCCTAGAAGGAGATCACAGGAGCCCAATATTATGTAAGTCAACTAGGAAGTACCTCCTGGCAATCAAACACTGGGTGGTCTGAGACTATAAAAGGAAGGTCATATTGAGTTTGAGATCACAAAGAGAATTCCTTGGGAAATAAACTTTTCTGAGCATTATGAAAGGTACCAGTCAGAGAAGTCAAAGAGATAGCCCTGTCACCCCAGCATCAATGGGAAATTCAAATCCATTGACATTGCCATTGGCAGAGCTCCTCGTGATTGACATACATTGCTATCTTGGAAGAACTGTGCAGAAATGTCATTTCCAAAGTTAAATAGCTGGAATCTCTATGGCCAAGGGATGGTGGCAGGTGGCGGACCACACACAGCAGGGGCTGGCTTGGCATTTAGCTCAGTTACACCAGAATACTGAACAGAGATATATAAAAAGGAGGAGAAAGAAACGTGCAAGCAATTCTATTGCTCAGAAAACCAAAACCACACTGAACACAGGCAGCAGCCAGAAGGGAAGGTCCTTTTTACATCTTACCCAAATTTGCAAATTTGCATCCTACCGTTAACATTGGGAAGAGGAGAGTTTATTGGAGAACAGCTGGTGTGACAAGAAGGTGAAAGAGGAGTCACCTTCCTTTTCTCTGTGACTGAGGCATAATGAGTACCTGGGCTTCCAGTGCTCCCCGGTGAGGGGAGGGAAAGGGAGAGCAGAGAGCTTACTCTAGTGAGTCATATAGCGACACAGGCTGGCCCACTTCTCCTTTTGTCTTATGAGATATCAGGAGACTAAGACCAGGGCAGTGTTCAGAGGCATCCAAGAGCCAGCATTCTCAGGATTTGGATAAGAGTTTTGTTCTTTGAATTTTGCATTCTATTAACAGAGAAATTGGTACTTTAAACATAGGTATGTCATATATATTATCTGCAGCAATATTTTGTTCTAATACAATACTTTAAACTTATGTGTCTTTGAAGAATAAGAAACAATGCACCCAATTTCCCACATGAGACTCATGGAAATGAGCTTTAGAAAATGAGATGTGTATGTAATGGTCCTGGGATTAGTAGTGCTTTTAAAAAGAAAAGTTGCATTAAAGAGTATGTGGGGGGTGTCATTGAACACATATGTAGATCAGAGGCAGAGCATAGCCTGTTTGAGGCTCCAGGTCTGATCCCCAACACTACAAGAAGGGAAAAAAATAGATATTTTGGTGTGTTGCAATTTCCTTGGGACTTGGCTTTGAGACTGGAGTCATTTCACAGATATTGAGGGGAGTCAGACATTCCTAAGCAGCTGTGAATATTTCCTCACCTCTCTCCCTAGTGGTATGTCTTGTTAAACAAAGTTACACTGGGCAACCGGGAATCGCTTGGATCCTAATTGTAACATTGCTTTATCGTACGTACACTGACACTCTTCAAAACGGTTAGGTAAAACTCCCAGTTATTTATGGCTGCCCAGAATATTTCTCCCAAACTAGGTCCTTGAAAACACTCATTTTATGATGCATGCAGAATCTGTGGTAGGGAGTTCACAGGGATACAAGGGCTGCCTGTCTGTTCCCTGGAGTCGGAGGCTGTGGCTGGGTGGGCTTGGATCTCTTTATATTTTTGGTTAGAACTCTTGGTAATTTAAAAGGCGACTTCACATTTTATTTTTACATAAAAGGAGAGTAAGGCCTCTCTCTCTCTCTCTCTCTTTCTCTGTGTGTGTGTGTGTGTGTGTGTGTGTGTGTGTGTGTGTGTAGGAATTTTTTCAAACCCCAAAATGCAGCTACTGAAAGACCATCAAATTAAGAGCCATGGCTGACAGTAGAAGTTTTCTGAGGCTGTGGAATAGAATTGTTGAATCCTGAAATGAGCCAGTCCTGTCTGGAGTGTCTGATAGTGTAAGAGTAGAAAGTCTCAGGTCTCTGTATTTGTCCTTGACTTCATTTAAATACTGTTCCTTTCTGGATACTGGAGAAGGCTACTGAGAACAACTAGTTTCCTTTTTTATTTTTTATTTATTCTTTGGGAATTTCATAGATATGTGTACTGTATTTTGATGAAAATCCTCAAGCAATCCTGCTTCCAGCTCCTCCTGGAGCCTTTCCCAATACATCTCCTTCCCTCATTCCCCACTCCTCATCATTTCTCTTGTCCTCGCCGAATCTAATCAGAGCTGACTGATGTACTTGGGTGTGGGGCCATCCATGGGAGCAATGGCACCTACCGACAGGTACACCCCCACAGAAAAATTAGTCTTCTTCCTCAAGCAGCCATCAGTTGCCAAAATGTTGGAGTCTCATGAGCCTTTGCCCTACCCACAGTGAAATGCGTACTGCTTGAAGTTGTGTGAGTCCCATGCAGACAACCACGGATGCTGTAAGTTTGCAATTGCAAAGACCATGTCATTTCCAGAAGACAAGGGTTCTCAGGGGGCCTTTTCTGCTCTTTGAACAAATGCAAATTCATGAGAAAGTAACAAATTTCTATCATGCATTTTGGAGAAAAATCCTACCTCGTCCTATTATAATTATTTTCATTTTCTCCAGTTTTAACTGCATCTGTGATTGTTAGATAGACTTACCTTACCACACGCTTTTCTGGATATTGCCATTTTTCTTTGACAGATGGCAAAGAGAATCCCTTATGTAGAACAGAGGCTTCAACACTGTAAAGTTCATTTCAATCATGACTTAGGAGACATAAACACCTTTTGTACTTAATCTGCACAAAGCTTCATTTCAGAGACTGGAGATTCCTGGCAGTGTGGAAAGCAATGACAGCGAAAGTCTATTTCATGATTTGGGCAAGAGGACTGAAGGAAGAAACCCATGCTCATTGCTCAGGAAGAACTCAGAGATTAGTGCCTCTAATAAGCAGTGTCTCCCCCAGATTTTGTCTGTTTCTTCATCTACCCCTAAAATGTTTGTATTTTTCAGATGCCCCCTTGAAAGACCAGGAAATAAAGGTTATGATAAGTCTTGAATATCTTTCCCAACCCAATAAGTTATTAGCATGGAATGGATACAGAGAGAGGGAGAGACAGGTTTTTTTTAAAGTGCAGCTTCTGGTGTGTAGATCACTCACCAATAAGACCCCAAGAGTATATGGACAGCAGAAACAGTACTTGCTGGGAAAAATAAGACATCAAGGAGGATCTTGGAAGAAGTCAGGGAGAAAGGGGATATGATCAAAAGGCATTCTGGAAAGTTCACAAAGAACTAATAAAAATGAGATGGGGAGAGAAAAGGAGAGAGAGAGAGAGGGAGAGGGATGAGGAGGTAGGGGGAGAGAGGCTAGTCTGTTCCAGAAGGGATAAAGTAACCAAGATCAATTCCAATAAGGTCCAAACATTAGATGTTTCTGGAAATGATACTTACTTATTCATGTTTGAGAGCTAAAACAACTCATCCCCATAAATGGCTACATAATTTATAATCCCAAATATATCTATTTCAGGAAGAGCAGAGACCATGGTGATATTAAAGTGGTAATTGGCTACTTGGGGTTATTGGAAGAAGGAAAATGGTGACTCCAGAGGCCTTCGAGCCCAATTGAGCCACCCTATGTGGATCAGGGTGGGCACATGATCTTACATGTTTGTCAAAAGCCACACAGTCTAATGTACCAAGAGCAGGATTCAACACACTCTTAGGGCACTGGTTTCCATCTTGCTAGGGGTCCTTGTGGTTGTGATTGTGTATGTAGGTGTTTACACAGGCATGCATGCATATGTGTGCATGTGTGTACATTTCAGACATGGGAAATCCTTGTGCCTTTTGCTCAGCTTTGCTGACAACTCTTAAAAGTGAAAAATAAAAATTAAAGAAGGGTACAACTGAGTGAATTCCTTTAGCCTGTAATATGGAAGATGCAGGTTTACCACTCAGCATAAGAGCATTGTTTGAAGACTGGTAAGGAACCAAGGGTTCAGCTAGTGGAATGATTCCAGTATGGACAAATCTGCTGAGAGGGCTGTGAGGGCTGCAAAGTGAAAGGCAATTAATCTCCCTCTTCAGGTGATAGTTGCAGTTTTGGATGCAAGAAAATACTAGTTGAGGAGGAGAAAACAGCCAAGAAAAACTGAGCTGCCCTGGTTATGCTATGCTAAGAGGCACTCATTAATAAACCTTGCTTGGCAACCCCATTTGACTTGATGAGGACATATCTGGATACTGGGTTTGGAAGTCCTGCCTTTCACAGAAATAACTAACTATTGGGGGGGGAGACTTCTGATAAAAGGTTGAGAAAATGTTCAGAGAACTGGACACATCCAATACACAGAAAGGAAGACCCAAGGGGAACATAATATCTATTTTAGTCCTGTGAAAAGGTATTATAAAGAGGAATGGGGCAATTATTCTCACTAGTCAAGGGGGATAAGACAAGAAGTAACAGTCTTAGAGTACAGTATGGCATACCTAGTTTAAATGTTAGGAAGAATTTAACACCAGCAGATATTAGAGATGGCTAGGGACACAGCATGGGATTGAGTAAGCACCTCCTTTAGAGATGGCTGCCGTTGAATTTAATGCCTTGGTTAAGTGGGATTTTAAACCAAGTCTTCCCTGACAACTGTAGTCTGATGTATCACTTGACTGTTTTTACTCCACTTTCCTCGCTTTGGGGATCCATGTGGTTGTGAACAGATCTATATGTCTGAGGGTTTCCAATTGTACATCTTTACATTGTAGTGTCAAGAGAAGGAACACTTCTTAAACACATGTCAAAATACACTTACTACATCTGTTATTAGAGAGTTCACTGTGCTGCTTCACAATTCGTGAAACGCACAGCTTCCATCAGACTCTGAAGTGTTTTGCAGAAACGTAACACTCAGTGGTGTCTAAACAAGCACATGACAAAACATGGAAACATGCTTTCTAGGAATGAAATCTTTTTACTGGTGATTCTCTCTCTTCCCCCCTCTCTCTCTCCCTCTTTCCCTCCTTCCTTTTTTTTCCTTCCTCCCCTCTCGATGATCTTGTTTCAGCCAGGCTGTAGAAAACCCTTCACACCTGGACCCAGGAACATACAATCTCAAACACTTACCCCCTACTGAAGCTTATTGGAATTTTATCTACCTAATGATTGGACAAGCTCACCTCATTATTTCTCTACCGTCTCATTGGCCACAAAGTTTCTAGCCCTTGATCCATCCTTTCATCGAGCCATTAGTTGAAGCTGCAGTAATGAAGGCTTCATAATGACTCATTTAGCTCTTTGCACTGGAAGCACCCTGCATATTACCCCAGCAGCACACCAAATTCATCTAGAAATCCACAGACACAAATGGTGCCATTCCAGACAGAACTCATCTTCAAATTTCTTGTGGTGTGCCATAGTCTTTCAACTTCCTGTGATCTTGATTAATATAAGCCAACCCTCTAGTGTGAAAGCACCAAAATGATTTGAAAAGTTGCTCTGATGTTGCTACTTATTTGTATTTACCTCAATGATTTGAACGGTTCATTAAAATAAGGTAAATCAGTGTAAGGCATAAGAGAAGAAAGATCTTTCCTGCTGGACATATTTTTGAAAAATAATGCCTATTTTAAAATAATTGGGAAATTGCAAATAGATACTGCAAAGGCAAACTTGTGTTCACAGTTATTGATAGTACTCCAGACCTCTGTTTCCGTGCTTCCCACTGAGATGCAGGTGCTATCATGTCTCCTGAGGTGACTTCTCCCTGTTTTCTACTCCCTAAGCAGATTCCCTAAACTCAAAGGATTCCAGAATAAAAGATTGGAATCCCATAAATTTAGGTGAGGACTGCAGGCCAGAAGTAGAAAAATCTTGTGTTTAAAGGAACACACATACTGAGAAATGCTCTTGCTCAGTCATTTGAACCACACTGGTCACAAATACAAGAAAAGACAGATGCTTATTTCAAAGTGTCAAGGCAGGATTTCCACTGTGTTGAAAGATTACTGTGGGCCAAGCTTAGAAAGAAAACGTCTTAGGTCAGAGGGAGGGAATTACATACATCTTTCTACTGATAATTTCCTTCAAGAGTTTTAGTGAGCATAATTAATCTTCACACATGTTACCATATTATTTAATTTGTATAATTAATTTCCATTATGAAATTTCATTAAATTTTTTTCTATTGAAAAACTGTATGAGTGTGGTGGGGTGGTATGGCATGGAATATTGCTCAGATATGGTTTGTCCCTAACAAAACTCATGCTGAGGCTTCGTTAAGAGCCCTTTCTCCTGAAAGGATGGATGCTGTTCCCACATGGACGGCTGAGTTGTCTTGAGCACAGATTTTGGTAAATGGCTTAGCCTACTCTGTCTTCTTCCTTCTTCTAGAAGTATCTCCTGCCTCCTTATGTACTACAATGTGTCAAAGTAGCATGAGGTCCACGCAGAAACTGGTAAGATGCAGACATCATGCTCTGGGATTTCCAAGTCTGCTGAACTCTGAGACAAAACCAACCTCTTTTTTTTAGGAACCACCTAATCTCTACATAGTAGACAATGGACTGGGGCTCCCGGCATGAAGAGCACTATGAAAGGAGCTGGGAGAACAGGGTCTTTCTATTGTCTGGACTAGGAATTATGCAATTTCACATTAAAAATGTCTTGCTATTCTAGACCTGTTTGTACCATGCCACCCATAAGGGCCTCTGTCTCCTTGTCGGAATGTTCCTATTTTTACACGGTTTGAATAATTTTTCCTAGCTCTGGTTATTTTTCTTTTGTTCTTGTTTGTTTGCTTGTTTATGCATCTTTTTGTTTCCTGTCCTGTGTGTTTGTAGAGTCACCAGCCTCACTGATACCTCTAACTGTGGTTAAATGTCTGAATCATCATGGAGGCTCAGGATTATTATGCAGATAGTGCATGAACCTCATTACGTGGGATGCCTCCGGAGAATCCTAGGGGTACAGACTTGTGAAGAGGAGCAGGAGCATTCTCAAGTCCTGGGTTACAGAGGGCTGATCAAGGAGGGTCCCAGCACAGAGCTTTTCCTGTCCCCTCTGAGTTCGCTGTATGGCAGGCACTCAGGGAGAGTAGAGTGTGAGTTGAAGATTTAGGTGCAGAAACAAGGATACCTGTGGCCCTGGTGGGTGAAGCCCCTGCATTAACCAGCCTCAAAGCAGACAAAGACTATTGTGCACTTATGGCTTCTTTTCTTCTAGGAGAAAAACTTAGTAAGCATTTTCAACACATGGATGAAGTACGCCTGTATAGCAGCTGGAATGACACAATGGACCCTAATAGCTTTGGCAGGTTTTTTAGACTATTTTGCACACTGCAATCCTCCCTCATCATCCAGAAGATTTGCTTACAAACCATCACTGTGGGTGATGTTCCCATTTGGCTACTCTAGTAAGGAAAATACAAGAGCCAGACAACTTCTAAGGGTCCAGTCCTTCAAGGATACACTTTGTTCTTCCCACATGTTTGTGCCTCTGAACATCCAAATGCCACACATACAAGAGAGATTTCTTCCCATTTCAGATGAGAAAATTATTTACGGTACAAAAATATCAGACCTCTGAATTCTGCATGCTAACTTCAATTGGCGCCCCTCTGTGGACAGCGAAGGCGGTGAGGTATGGAAAAGGCAATGCACAGCTGTATTCAAATATGAATTACCACACTGGCATTTCGACACTCAGAGAGGCACATATCCCTGCTGTGTATTCCTGGCTTGTATGTTTGTAAATGCACTGGATAAAGCAGCAGCTCACTCCCTTGCTTCTTGCATATTTGTTGTTCTCCTTGCCTGTGTTTTGGATACAGGAATATGAAAGGTAGATAGGCATGCGTACATGGATGTTTATTGTTTGTAAATAAAGTGCAAATTGAACGTGCCATTTCCCACGCCAGCCCTAATGGAAATGCTTGATATCAGAATGTGTTCCTCTGCAAGGGACTGTCTTTGTGTTTCCCTTACACCATCTTTTTGCTTTTAGCGCTGCTGAGGGAGAAGAAGAGGGACAAAAGGGAAATGCCTAGTGTGAAACTGGAGAACAGCAGCATCCTGATGGCAACTTTCTTCTGCAGCACAATCTACCAACAAGCCACAGGAACATTTCTTTAAATGGATCCATAACAGAGTTATAATAGGAAAAAATTAGCTCTTTTTGTTCTCCTATGGCAAAAATCACGACTTTAGCTTGTATTTCAAGATGGATATTTTCACTGTCAGTCCCAGGAACTTAAAAGTAAAGTGGAAATCAATCTCAGATGGATTATCTGCGTGATATAAACATGTGGGCATAAAATGTATAGAGACTACATATGGCAGGCCCATCTGACATAAACAAGTGGGGCTGAGAAATATACATACACGCCATGATTGATTTGTTAGCTTCGTGTGTGAATGGAGCTGAAAGCCCGAGTTGAGGCATGACCTGAGATAAGCAAATGCACATAAATACACAATAAACCCAGATAACACGAGAATAACACCAATTAGAACAATCACGACAACTTCTAGTCATCACGAGGTATTGTTTCAGATCCCTCTTCAAATGGGAAAAGCTTCCAATGGTTCTTAAAGCCACTGCTAACTGATTCTACACTTGTGGATGCCGGACACAGTAAAAGCCTTTGTCCCTCATTTGTATGCAACTGAGGATGCTGAGCTGTGAAGGCAGGAAGGAAAGTTTTACGTGGCCTTCTGCCAGAAGGGGACAGGTTGAGTGGCGCCTATCAATATGACCCTTATTCTGTTTCATTATTGAAAATACGTATTTTGTAATTCCACACCAAGTCCAAACCCAAAAGTCCAAATATTAACACTTGAAGCACTGTCATGAAGTCTACCAGCTACATAATGCCTACATTTGTACCTTAGTAAATCAATTTCCATAGTCTACCTGAACTGAACAGAAATTCATATGGTCATTTTTAAATGTACCAGGGTCAAGGGCTACCGGAAATCCACTTTCCTGAGCTTTAGGAATGTGTTGTTCATGTACAAGGCACACTTTGAGCATGAAGAAACTGGGTTTCCTGTCCTGTGTACAGGGAACCTGGCTCTTGTGGCAACTGTATGCATCTTCTCCTGGCTTTTTGTTCCTCACTGTGGCTACAGAGGTAAGGATATCTGCTATAAGCCATGCTGCTGCATGCAGGGACACTGTTGGCATCTGTCATACCTTCACTTTTCTGGGGTGCTTACCACTGAACCTTGTTAGTCATGAGTTGTAAATGATGATGTTCCAACATCTGCCCTCTTCACAAGGCTTCTGGCTTCGGTACAGAAGTGTGTATTGTAGGGGTCTTCTCTGACCCATATGCTGTCTTTGCCTCTGGATGCCAACCACATGCAAAGTATGTAAACAAGAAACCATTTCAGAATGTACTAGTCTTTACTTCAACCCCAAATTCCAGGCAGATCACAGATACCAGGAGTCATCACAGAAGATTGGTCACCACCCAGAAGGTGCTTAAATTTCCCCACACAGAACAGCTTGGAGTATTGATGGAATGGGATTAATGGTCCTGTCTCCCTTGTGGGATTATGAGGTTTAAATGACAATTCGTGTGTTTTACTCACCACAGTGTTCATACATAGTAAATAGATGGCATATGTTAGCAAAAAGGAATACTGGATTCCATATACTTAAATAGTCACAATCCACTAGGCTTTTAATAGGAGGACATGCAAGCAGCATGAATACATGAAATTTGTCCCTTTACTTGAGGGCAAGTATCCAATATAGCCTTTGAGTTCAGATACCTCAGCTTCCTTTGATCTGAACTGTTGATGGAAGAACTTCAAATTTCTGCCATCCTATTTTGGTTTTAAAACACAAATGCTACAAACATTGTGATTTTTTGCTTACACAAACCACTGGTGTTCTATGGAACCTGGTTCCTCATCTGCAAATAAAAGAGTTTGACAAATGATATCCAAATTCCCTTCAAAAGCTTACTATGATTGCATTATTTGGCGTGTGCTATTGTAGAATGAATTAATGTCAGGAAAATAAATTTTCAATTATAACAAGGGTTTTTCAAACTCCTACATTTTAGTTCAAAATATTAGTATAAGTTAAGCTTCAGTCAGTTGTAAGCATGAAAAAAAGACCGTGGAGTATTATTTTATTTAGGTGACATTTAGAAATAGTTACTTTAAATACTCAAATATGTATAATCATTTCTTTAAAAAAATCTATCCAAGGGAACCCTTGCCTGCTACACTTTGACCCGCATTCAGAAAATTATCCAAATAAGAAAGAACTTTTGATACAGCAGCCATTTTGAAAGTGACTCTTATCAGTCTCTTCAAGTTCTAGACACTTTCTAAGACACATTTATATCCTTTGAAAGACTTTAAAACTCATAGGCAATGGGATCACTGAAATGATTCTAGAGAAATTGAACTATATAAAGTGACATGAACAGTTGTACTTGGGATGGTTTAAGAATATTACTCTTGACTCTACTGTGGAATTTATTCACTCTTAGAGGACAGCATTATGTCTTCGAAAAATCCTTTCCTGGTGAAGCTGAGTAAAGGAATACTTCAAAACATAATTAAATATTAGATTTAACATATGAATATCAACAAACCAGGCCCACATTCAGGATGTAAAATCCATTTTCTTGGGTTGTTCTTATATTCAGTTTATATACATTAAGAAACATGTTGTTTACGTTTCATAATTTGAAAATTTGATTTTTTAGTAAATTCTCAAGATACAATTTTCCATCTTAAAAGTTACCTTATATTTTCCCTTCCACGATGAACACTGCATCAATCCTCAAGAATTAGTGCCCTCTGTGTAAAGAGCAGCCTTGACCTCAGACATCAGCTCTCTGACCACAGAGTCTAATTAAACTCAGCAAAAAACAGAACCAACAACAATGAAAATGAACAAACAGAGTACAAAGAAGTAAGGTACAGAAAAGTGTTGTTCTGGAAATTAAAATTACATTAGACAACTCTTTAAAAACTTATCAAGTTAAGACTTGTGCCGTTGAGCTGCTTGAAAAGACATGAAGAGGACACTCTCCTACTCTGTTCCACAGAGAGGCCCATGCTTCAGCAGAAGACAGACAGAAAACTTGCAAACCCATTGTCCCAGCTCTGAGGACCAAGAACAGGTTACAAACCCAGAATCCCTTCTTGCAACTTTAAAATAGCATCATCTAAATCCCTTGGGTTAAAGATCAGACATCAAAATGTCTGACAGCAGAGCACAGGGTGTGATAAACATGAAGTTTATGAAGGAGTCAGGAGCAAGACCAAGGACACATGTGTCCTAAAGGAATCTCATAGGTGTAACCAGTTGATTAGCTCAGTGGTAGTGTTCCCCTGGTATATGTGGAAAACCAAGGTTCAATCCACAGTACTGAAAAAAAAAGGACTTGGATGGAAGTGGTAGGGGTAAGATTAGTTCAGTTAAAACAGGATCATCACCTTTGAAATTACAAGAGGAAAACATAATCAAGTGACTTATTTTTCAAAAGAGAAGAGAGCAAATGGAAGCTATAAATAAAACTACAATGCCATGCTAACAAATAGGGTCCAAACACATGACTCCAGAAATGAGAAGGACCAAGGTCAGTGTTCCCTGATACTGTTAGGCAGGGTGCATTTGAAGATGCACAATGGCATATGACAAGATTGAGAAGGACTTGAAAATATTACTGACATATTCTCCAGAGAACATAATGTTTGTGAAAGTTTACCCTAGAATGATGTGCTACATATTATTTGACTGGAGAGCTTTGGGGACTCTGGGAAAAGGTGGGTGAGAAGCCACAGAAGGGAGAGAAGTAGACACATCTTTTTTATTTTCATTCAAAACTTTTTTTTAATTGGAAACAAGCTTGCTTCACATGTCAATACCAGCTCTCTCTCCCTCCTCCTCTCCCCACCCCCACTAGCCCTCCCAACTCCCCACCCAATCCCCACTCCACTCTCCAGGGGAGGTGAGGCCCTTCATGGGGGATCTCCAAAGTCTATCATATATTCCTGGGCAGGGCCTAGGCCCTTCCCCATGTGTCCAGGATGAGAGAGTATCCCTCCATGTGGAATGGGCTCCCAAAGTCCATTTGGATGCCAGGGATAATACTGATCAAGTGCCTGAGGCCCCAAAGAAGGCCAGGACCTCCTCACTGACACCCACGTTCCAGGGGTCTGGATCAGTCCCATACTGGCCTCTCAGCCATCAGTCTGGGGTCCATGAGCTTCCCCTTGTTCAGGTCAGCTGTTTCTCTGGGTTTCACCAGCCTGGTCTTGACCCCTTTGCTCATCACTCCTCCCTCTCTGCACCTGGTTTCTAGGACTTCAGTTCATTTTTTAGCTGTGGGTGTCTGCCTCTGCTTTTATCAGCCACTGGATGAAGGAGCGAGGATTGCATACAAGGTAGTCATCAATCTCATTATTGGGGAAGGATATTTAAGGTAGCCTCTACACTATTGCTTAGATTGCGAGTTGGTGTCATCCTTGTAGGTCTCTGGAAATCTCACTAGCACCAGATCTCTCCTCAAACCTGTTATTGGCTCCCTCTATTATGGTATCTCTCATCCTGGTCTCCCATGGTGGACACATCTTTATAAGACCTTAACAGGCTAGATCTGATAGAACTAATGCTAATGCTGTATCCAAATCACCCAATGCTGTGTAATAGAAATTATATTACACGTTCCATGTGACTGATGAGAATGTAATGTTTACACTAGCAACAAAGCCAAGGTCAATATTCTTTACATAGAAAGATCACATGGACCTGTTATAATGTACAGTGAAATTAGATATCAATGGCTGAAATGTAAATAAATATAAAAAGTACATCTTTAAATAAATAAATGGCACAGATAACACAGGTCAAATTATAGAACTGGTCTTTATGGATATTTAATAAATACTTTATTTAACTCCATATATTTAAATATGTAGGGTACTGTCACTATTCTAACCAGATATAACTTTAGTCTATGACACATGCGTTGGTACCGGAGAACAAAATAAGAAAAAAGAACACTATTAGTCATAACATTAAGTTATGAATACAAGATAAGTAAATCAACATTAAGTTATGAATACAAGATAAGTAAATCAGAGCTACAGAAAATAAATTAGTATGATAAAAATAAAATTGATAACTAAATATGAGGACAATTTTCAAAGAAAAAGTATTACTCAAAGGATCTAGTCTCTGTAGGAGCATAAATGAGGATATGTGCTATCAGATTCAAAATTAAATTTGTGAAAATAAAATGTGCCCATGTTAATGATTTAAAATTTTAATTAAATGGTAAGATTTTCTACATAATAAGTATGCCTCAGTTTTATATTTTATTTCTGGAGTCTTTTCTTTACTAATGTAAGATATACAACACATTTTGATTATTACAATTTTAAGGTAATTATTTGAGAAGACATTTGGGCTTCTTTCATTATCTTACTGGTCCTAGATGGATTTGGCCATTATTATGTTTTTATTATTATAGAATAATCTTTTGCAGTTACAAATTTTACTAATTTGTTCATGTGTTATTTGACCCCAGAAGTACTAGTTACAATCTTTTAATCAAATTGATGGCATATCCCACTGTATTTTTGCACCTGTTTCTACTTGCTAAAATTTTGATAGATTCTTTTTAAAATATTTATTATTTTTTAGGAATTTTTCTATTATGAAGTTTTTATTTTCTTCTAATGTTTTTAAAGCAAAAATACTTCTTATCACATTTCATCTTATAGATTGTCAAAAAATGTTACTGTTACAAGATGATAAATTTTAATTTTTTGGATTTCATTCAAATGATAGGCATGCATTAAAATTTAATTTTAATAAAACAACATATAATAAAACTTCAGAAAGTTATATAATGAACAATATTGTTAATAAATCATTATGAATTCTTGAGAAAATGCACAGGTTTCATCAGGTAGAAAAGAGAAGCAAAAGGAAAACTATGAAAACAATAACTTTCAGGGTCAATACCTGTATATCAATGTTTACCTTAGTGGTAATTACTAGGCTATAGATGCCAATCAAAAGATAATTATAAAAATTATTTTAAAGGATCCAACATTATACTAACTGCAAGAAACTCACTTCAGATACAAAAGGATATGTAAGTGTGAAGTAACTGAATTGTAAAAGATAGTATACAAGTACTAATTTAAAAAATAAATGTGACTATAATAATAAATGGTAAACTAGACGTCAGTGCAAGGAGAAAATTGCCTGACAATGAAAGGATCCAGGATCTGGAGAAATGGCTCAGTGCTTTAGAGTGCTACTTCAGGTGTGAAGATTGGAATTCAGATCCCAGCACCTAGATAACAAGCCAGATGGGGTCCGTTGCATGCCTGTAACCCTAGCACTGTTGAAGTAGAGGTAGGAAGATTTCTGGGCTTACTAACTCTCATTCTTATTGAAAAACTGGAAATTCTAGGTTCAGAGGGAGACTCTGAGTTAAAGGAATAGATGAGAGTCACAAGAACCTGTGTGAGGCATTGCTCTGATCTCCACACAAAATCACAAGTGCCCATAGCATACCTTCTCAGACATCTGCATATATATATTACACATGTATCTATTTCACTCACATGCATACATATACCCACATACAAAACAATTTGTAGGATCAACACACAAATAAGACATAACACTGAACACATAAGCACCAGTTACATGCAAGCTCGCTCATATGTCAGAACTGACAGGGCTATAAAAAGAAGATAAGTACATAACTGCAATTTCAGAAGTCAAAAGCTCTCTCAGTGACCACTGGGACTAAAAATAGAAAAATCTTCCTAGATATAGAAAAAAATTAATAACACTCTAGACTGAAAAGAGCCTAGAGAATTTTTCAAGAAATGGACCAGATTCTTAGTCACAAACAAGTCTACTTTTTTGAAAATGAAATTATGCAAATATGTTTATGACTTTTAATCCTCCACAGTCCTGGAAATTACCCAGCACATCTGTAGGTGAATACAATTGAAAAAGAAATTAAAGAATAGGCCAAAAAATTAACGATATAAAAATTTGTGAGGTATCAGTAAAGCGGTGTTGAGAGAAATGTTCATAAAATTAAATGCTTGCATTAGAAAAGAAAAAAAATCCCAGATTAGTAGAATCGAGAAAAATAAAGAAAACATGCAGTAAACTTCTTGAAAGAATGGAATAAGATCACAAAGCAAAAGTAAATGAAATTAAGACAGAAAATGGGAGGAAAAATTAACTAAGAAAGTAGGCTCTGGAAATCCAAAAAAAAAAGTAGGAAGACAGAGACATTTACATCACGAGTGAAATGAGTGATGATGAGAAAGAATCTATAGTCACCAAGAAGCAAGAAAGTTGACTGAGGAATAACATAGCTGACTGATAGAGTTCTTGCATAACATGGGTAGTCCCTGAGTTCAGGCCCTGGCACAGGAAACAAAAATGAAAAGAGGAATATGAAAAAAAAAGAAAGGAGACATAAGGGAACAGACTATGATACTTATGCTCATGACGTCAATGATTGAAAAAATCCTAACTTCTCAAAACTACAAACAAAAAGCAACAAAAATAAAATAGTCCCAAAATTCTAAAGATTTTGCATTGGTAGATTAAAAGGCTTTCAGTAAAGAAATCTCCAATACTACATGATTTCAGTGGGACCCAGCAAAGCATTTAAAACAGAAGGAATACCAATTTGCTATATTTTCAGAAGTTACGTATGAATTCCACAGTACAATCACTTCTTTAAGCTGCTATCGGTATTTAATATCAGGTACAGAGCACCAAAAGTTAACAGACCACATCTCTCAACAACTCAGTCATTTAGAGCCACAACAAAACATTAATGACTCGAACTCAGAAATGCGTTCAAAGAATTATGTACCATGACCAAACAGCATTTTTCCAGATGTACATAGTTGATTTGACATACAATAAGCCATCAATGCAATCTACCACATCAGTAGGTTGAAAGAAAAAGAACAATATGGTTATATTAATTAATGCAGGAAATCACTTGACAAATACCGATATTAGTCATGATTAAAACACAGAAAACAGGCGTGGAGGGGAGCTTCAATTTTGTAAGAATCACCTCTGAAGAAACTGGTAGCTGTCTTTATGCAGAATGCAAAAGTCTGAATTTTCCCTCCCAGGCTTGGAAATAAGGAGAGTTGGCTTGCATCACTGATAATGAACGTGATGCTGAAAGTTCAAACTGAGGAATAAAGGGTATGAATGCATTTAAATGAGACAAAACTCAGTCTTTCTATCTGACATATTTTCTAAGTACCAAATAAAACAATTTCAACAGGATTTTTCAAGAATAGCAAACTAGTTCAGAAAATTTCTAGGATGCAAAGCCAACATATAAAACCCAGTTATAATCTTGCAAAAGAGTAGCAAATGAGTAGAAACCTTAAAAACGCAATATATAATTATTACAAGGAAAACGAAATGGTAATGAATCTACCATAGCATATATAAAATTTCAAAGCTGAAAATTATTCATTGCTGTTTAGCTAAATCAAAGACCTAACTAAATGAAGACATATGTAGTATTTCATGGAATGGAAGACCTGACTTATTAGGTATTAATTCTTCTCAATTTGTTCTGTTGGTTTAAAGTAATTCATATCAAACTCTGGCAGTGGTTTCTACAAACATAGATGATTTTAATTTGTATGGAAACTCAAGGCCCTAAAATAAAGGAAATTCTTTAGAAGAAAAAAATGGGAGAATATTATTGAAAAAATTGTAGACAATAAGGTATCAATCAATACAGGGGAAGGCGCATAATAAAATAAAGCAGAGAAACCATAGACAGCTCCATGCATGTATACCCAAATGGATTTTTATTGCTATTGGTTTTACTTTAAA